TGAAAAGATTATCATTTCCTTTTGAATTTCCTTGGAATCTTTGTCAAAAATCAGTTGTCCACTGGATATCCACACACAAAAGAATGGAGGTGGACAGCTTTCTCACATCACATACAAAATTTACACACATGGATCAAAGACCTAAATATGAGTTAAAACTATAAATTCTTTGAAGAATAATACAAAGGTTTAAATCTTTGTGACCTTGGAATAGAGAATGGTTTCCCAGATCTTATTGATTTTTTACAGAGAGGATGGGAGAGGGATAGAGAGTTAGAAACATCAATGAGAAACATTGATCAGTTGCCTTCTGCACACCCCCTACTGGGGATGTGCCTGTAACCAAGGTTCATGCCCTTGACCGGAATCGAACCTGGGACCCTTCAGTCCGCAGGCCCACGCTCTATCCACTGAGCCAAACCGGTTAGGGTGGTTTCCCAGATTTAGATAGAAATTTCTCCAGAGGAGATATACAAATGGCCAACAAACATAAAAAAAAAACGCTTACCATATTAAGCAACTGTTGAAATTCAAATGAAAAACTAAATGAAATACCACTTCACATTTACTAGGATGACTATAATAAAAAAGATTGATAACAAATGTTGGCCAGGGGTATTAAGTTATAGGTTTGTTTGTTTTTTTCTTGTAATGTTTTTATCTGGTTTTGGTATCAGGATAGTGCTGGCTTGCCTGGCCAGAGTGGCTCAGTAGGTTCAGTGTTGTCCTGTGAGCGAAAAGGTTGCTGGTTTGATTCCTGGTCAGGGCACAAACCTGGATTGTGGTTTTGATCCCCGGTTGGGGCACTGGGGCACTGGGGCACTGGGGCATGTACGGGAAGCAACCAATAATGTTTCTCTCTCACATCGATGTCTAATCTACTTTCTGTCTGTATATATTTGCCTATTTTAGGAACTTCATGTAAGTGGACACATACAATATTTGTCCTTTTGTATTTGGCTTATTTCATTTAGCATGTTTTCAAGATTCATCCATATTATAGCTAGCATGTAGCAGATCTTCACTTCCTGTTAGGATTACATTTGTATTATACACTACATTTCGTTTATCCATTCATCTCTTGATGGACACTTGGGCTATTTCAACCTTTTGGTTTTTGTGAACAATGCTGCAATGAACACTGGCATACAATTCTTGAGTCCCTGCTTTTAATTCCTTTTGATATAAACCTTGAGCTTTCTTTTTTTTTTTTTTCTTTCTTTCTTTTTTTTTTTTATAGAGAGGAAAGGAGAGGGGATAGAGAGCTAGAAACATTGATGAAAGAGAAACATCGATCAGCTGCCTCCTGCACACTCCCCACTGGGGATGTGCCTGCAACGAAGGTACATGCCCTTGACCGGAATCGAACCCGGAAGGTACATGCCCTTGACCGGAATCGAACCCGGGACCCTTGAGTCCGCAGGCCGATGCTCTATCCACTGAACCAAACCAGTTAGGGCAAACCTTGAGCTTTCAATACTTGGTTATGATGTGTCGGTGTGTAGACTTCCTTTAATTTATCCCACTTAGATTTTATGAAACTTCTTGTATATGTAATGATTTCATCATATTTCAGAAGTTTTCAGCCAGTATATAGTCCATAGGTTTCTGCTTCTCTCTCTCTCCTTCTGTTACTTCTATTACACATGTTTTCGTGCCTAATAACATCCCTCAACTCTCTAAGGCTCTGTTCAGATTTATTCATTTTTTTTCTCTCCATTCCCCATATTTCATAATCTCTATCAATCTATATTTACTATTTTCTGATTCTTCCATCTTTCAGTTCAAATTTATTGTTGGGCTCCCCTTGTGAATGATTATCCAGCCATATCCTTGATGTTCTTTCCAGAACATGCTTTCTCAAATTTTTGAAATATGGATATGCTGAGAATTTTCCAAACTTTAGTTTTGGTTTCTTTTTCTAATCATTACCCAGTTCTGCAATTTCAGGAATTTTTTACAACAACACCCTACTTTCTGGTACCAAAACCTGTATTCTAGGGCTGCCATAACAAAGTACCACAGACTGGGTGGCTTAAACAACATAAATTATTTTTCCCACAATTCTGACAGTGAGAAGTCTGAGAACAGGATGTTTGGCAGGGTTGGTTTCTTCTGAGGCCTTTCGTCTTGGCTTCTGGATGACTATCTTCTTCCTGTGTTTTCACAATGTCTTTCCTTTATCCAGGTTTTTGTTCAAATATCATTTTTTTATCAGGACATGAGTAATTGTGCATTATGGCCCACCCAAATGCCCCCATTTTAACTTACCTTATGAAAGACACTTTCTCCAAATACAATTACATTATGAGGAACTGGGAGTTAAGATTTCAACATACGAATTTTGCAAGACACAATTCAGCCCATACATCCTTCTTGGCATGAAACCTTCATCCTATGAGCAAGCTGGGGTGTGTGCTCTCCGGGCCCAATATTTTCAACCTGGCACCAGCCATGGTATAGCTTCCACTCTAAGAGTAAGGGCGAATTGGGGTAAAAGGGCTTCAGCTCTTTTGGCTGCACTTGCCTGGAATAGAGCTTCTGTAACCCAACGCTGAGAGTATTAGAGATGCCAGTAGCCTACTCTCCCAGGGAAAAACTGTCACCCTAGTCTGGGAGCTAAGAGGAGGGAGGAAATCCCATCTTCTTATTCATAGCTGCCAAAAGTAGAGTTCTATCTTTCCAAGCTGGGGGAGGGCTGGTGGTGTTAGGAATGGGACATGGCTCAAATGGCACAGACTCTTGCTGTTCTTACCAAGACTTATTAGATTTTCTTGAATAAATGTTTCTTCATTTGCTCTATGTCAGAACAATTTACAAAGAAATTAAATATTAAAAAAGATTAATTTCACCATTGAAGTGATTGTTTCACTGGTGGAATGTTCTGCCAAATCCTTACACCACCATTCCAGAAGTCCTGTCTCTTGCTTCTTGAATCAGCTAGGATAGTTTGTGGCTTTCAAAGAATTTGCTTATTTTATTGAAGTTGCTGAATTTATTGGCGTAAATGTGTCCACTATATTTGTACATCTCTTTCAATGTTTGAAGGGTCTGTAGTGATGCTTCCTCTCTTTCCTGATATTAGCAGTTTGTTTTTTCTCTTTTTATCCTGGTTGGCCTTGCTTGATCTTTATCATTTAACTTGACCTCAAACCAAACATTTTTTTTGTTTAATAGATTTTCTCTTTTTTGTTATTTTCATTGTCATCTTTCCCCTTTTTCTGCTTATTTGGATTTATTTTGTTCTTTTTCTAGCTTCTTAGCTTTAACCATTGATTTGAGATTTTTCTCTTCCCCCCGCCCCAATATGAGTGTTTATGCTATAAATTTCCCTCTAAGACCTATTTAGCTCCATGCCACAAATTTTGATATGTCATGCTTTCATTTTTATTCTGTTTAAAATATTTTTAAAAATTTATTCTTTGATTTCTTGTTTGATCCATGAGCTATTTAGTAATATGTTTAGATCCCATGTATATGGGGATTTTTCAGATATCTTCCTGTTATTCTTTTTAAGTTTAATTCCATTGTGGTCAGACATTATAGTTTGTATGATTTGACATGGACAACAGTGTGGTAATTGGGGGGGGGGCGATAGGTGGAGGTGGAAGAGTGCATAGACGTTAAGTGGTGATGGAAAAAATAAAAAAAATTTAAACAAAGAAAGTTGAAAAATCCTATAAATCAGCGGTTCTCAACCTGTGGGTCGCGACCCCTTTGGGGGTCGAACGACCCTTTCACAGGGGTCGCCTAAGATCATCAGAAAACACATATATAATTACATATTGTTTTTGTGATTAATCACTATGCTTTAATTATGTTCAATTTGTAACAATGAAATTGGGGGTCACCACAACATGAGGAACTGTATTAAAGGGTCGCGGCATTAGGAAGGTTGAGAACCACTGCTATAAATGGATATTTAAAGTACTTACATTATTTAAATTGCATTGTTTACCATGAGAGAACTAAAATACTGGAATAGTTCAAATTATCTAAATCTTCATCTATCATAAGATAAATGAATAAATGTCAAAAATTGATAAAACAATTAGCCCCAGCCAGTGTGGCTCCGTTGGGTGGAGTGTTGTCTCATGCACCGAAGGGTCTCAGTTTCAGTTCCCAGACAGGGCCCATACCCAGGTTGAAGGTACAATACTGGCCTTCACAAAGGCCAATCTTTACCTTAAAAAGCCTGTCTATTTTATTGTCCTTTTGCATCTAAGATAACATACCCTTGGAATTCAGAGAAATGTTTTCAAGATGCCTCAGGGCCCAAGACCACAGAATCCTTCATTGTTATCTTGTTCCCGGAATACCTTGTCTACGCGCTGTAAATTAGCGTAAAAATTGTTAACTATCCATCAATGTAAAAGAAGTATGTATCTCTGTGTTTTACTCTTTATCCAAAGTCAGAGATTCCTCCCACTTTGCTTTCTCCTGCCTCCCTAATCTACCACCAATGAATTTTATGTAACCCTCCTTATGTTTCTTCCTTTGAGTCTAATGTATAAAATAAGCTGTAAAACTGCCATTCTCTGAGCATTTTCTCAATCCCTTGAAATATTGCTTCCTGGCAATAGTCATCAGTTTGGCTCAAACTTATACAGATTCTCTATAGGTTTGGATGTTTCTTCTGTCAACATTGCCCTCCAAAAATTTATTTCTCACTTTTATTATTTATGATCACTAATGGGGATCAACAAGAAAAACTCCCCAGAAGATGGTGAAATATAAAAAGAACAACAAAAAAGAAGAAAAAGGTGATCTTCTGTATTACCCTTACCTAAGACAAACATTGAGAAGCTGACATTTTTAAAGTAAAAATGTTAGGAATTTTGTGCCGCATATATTCAATTTTTATATTATAAAAAAATACTAATTTTATAATAGGAGGCAGTGGACGTTTGAATCCTGGCTCTGCTGATGGTTGTGAGGCTTTGGTCAAGCTACCCAACCAACCTTTCCAAGCCTTAAAGGGTATTAGCACCTACCTTTACTATTAGACTTGAGGCACCTCTCATGACACCACAGAAGTGTTACCAGATAGCCCTGAGTCAGTGGGAGAAGGCTGTTCCCAATCTCAATCCTTGTCTTCTCATATAAATGAATGTATACGAGAGATCTTGGCTGTGTTGTGAAAAACCAGTTTATTAAAGCATGCACCTTTATTGAAAAAACAATGCAAGCAAACCTATACACCTGGTTTATGAAGCACTAATTTGAAGAGCGAGCTGGGTGGGGGTCAGAGGCATTATATACCCTCCTGTCTATCTGTTAGGTTATTGCTTTTTCAGGGATATAGGTTTCAACATTCCTTTGCTGAATATTTTGGTACAGATTAATTCTCAAGGCCCTTTTTTACCTTGTGGCCTCCCAGAATTTGGGAGAAGCACCTGGCAACTTTATCTTGCCAAGCCTGAGACTGCTGGCTTCTCTGCTGAGGGAGTAAAACTGCCCTTTTTTCTTTTCTCCTTCCCCCTCCCTTTCTGCATTCTCTTGTTAGGGAGGTTTTTAACCATTTGCTCTCAGGTGTCCTTGGCTGGGGAAAATAATGGCTTGTTAGTTATAAATTGCTGCAAACTGCCCACACTGTCTGGCCTTGTTTTAACTCTCCCGTCTCAGCTTCTCTATCCCTCCTGCCCTGGAATCCTGTGACATTTACCAATGGTTGTGTAGTCAGATAATCGAATAAGACCAATTTAACACAGTGCCCTACATTTACTTACCAAGCCTCGGCATGCTCCTATCATTGTTAACAGTAAGGGAAGCCAGTATCCCCGTGTCTCAGTCAAAGCCATAGAAATGCATACGGAAGAGGACGCTTCGTTTGAATCTTACTCACAGGCTGGTATTAGCCAGGCATTTCATAGCCGGACCCTAATCTTTCATTTAAATTAAAAAACAACAACATTAAAAACATATAAAAATGACCCAAAATATTAAAACATACAATTGTCCGTACCTATTTGCACATATTCAGTTTTATTTTCTTATCTTACCATAAGCTCAAAGCTAATCATTTAGAAGAGCGTTATTTTATTCCAGGCTCCAGGTTGAGCTCAGAGAAGACTCCCTCCAAAAACTCCCTAACGACAGCGTATTTAGTGGGGGCGCAAGAGGACGTAGGTTAAAAGTCCGACCTCAGGGATCGAACTCTCAACTGAAGATCACATGGCCACACCGCTCCTCCTCCAGAAGCCGGACTCCAGGTTCCAGGCGCGACGGGGGCAGACCGCGCCGCGGACGCTGCAGTACGACAGGGGCGGGGCCGCGGCCGTAAAGCAGCGCCCTGCGATCACGTGGGCTCGGAGGCGGCGGAGGGCACCTGCGCTGGTTCCCGGCCGGCGGGTCATGGCGGCTCCCGCGCGAGGCGGTGGGGCCAGGGGTCTGGACTTGATCCGGGCCCTGCCCCGCGTGAGCCTGGCCAACCTAAGGCCGAATCCAGGCTCCAAGAAACCGGTAAATGGCTGGTGACGGTGCGGGGCAGCGCTGCGGCGGGGCGAGGCGAGCGGCCTTTCCCGCGGGCCGCGCCGGATGGAAGGCTCCTTTCCCGAAGGGCGGTGGGATGAGCACAGGGTTCCGAGCCCCTGGAGCCTTCTGTGCTCAGAGTCTTCCCACGTGGTCCCGACTCCTCATGAGGTTTACACTTAAAAGCATAATTAAGTGAATTAGGGAGGGGCGAAGTCGCAAGAACTGCACAAATGATGGCTTTTCTCAGAATTGGATTTAAAATGAAGTGCTGCCCTAACCGGTTTGGCTCAGTGGATAGAGCATCGGCCTGCGGACTCGAGGGTCCCAGGTTCGATTCCGGTCAAGGGCATGTACCCTGGTTGCGGGCACATCCCCAGTGGGGGATGTGCAGGAGGCAGCTGATCCATGTTTCTCTCTCATTGGTGTTTCTAACTCTCTATCCCTCTCCCTTCCTCTCTGTAAAAAATCAATAAAATATTTTAAAAAAATAAAATGAAGTGCTTTTCCAATATATTTTGGTCTTCATGGGAAAGATATGAATTGATTTGTCACATTAAATGCCTTTTTTTGAAAACCACTGAATACAGCTCTGAATAGTTCTTAGTTGACACTGTCATTTTGAAAACCAATCCTTGCTTTTGTGAGGTGCCAGGAAATAGTATTTTCTTTATCAGTTAATCTTTAAAATAATGTAGGTAACAATGATATATTTACAATTAATTGCAAGATGAATTTTCTTGATTTCCCTCTATCCTTGTTTGTTAGGGATGTTTAATTCTAGGCTTTTTTCAATGCCAGATTGTTACAGAATCCCTATCTCTTTTCCATCCTGGGGTCGTTGCCTTTGAAACACAACTTGGACTTTAGAAGAATCAGCTGCACTTCAGAGGCAAAGATACTGCTTTAGAGTTTGCAGACATTAGAGCAGCTAGAATTGTAGCTAGTACTGGTTGGTTGGATGAATAAATGGCATACAAAATATACAGTGAAAAGGTAAAATAGATGTTTAAAAATGCATTTGTGGATTATAAAACTCTTTTTTCATTTTAGGAAAGACGACCAAGAGGTCGGAGAAGAGGTAGAAAATGTGGCCGAGGCCATAAAGGAGAACGGCAGAGGGGAACCCGGCCCCGACTGGGCTTCGAGGGAGGCCAGACCCCGTTTTACATCCGAATCCCCAAATATGGGTTTAATGAAGGACATAGGTAAGGTTCCTTTGCTTTGTAAAATAAAAATCCCTAATTTACACTGAGAATCACCTAAAAAAAATAGCTTGGTAGAATTGTAAATTCACTTTGAAACCAACTTTTGCTACTGTTTCTCTGAACTATTTTTGGTAATGAAATTTAGCTGGATTAGTAGGAAAAAAAAAAACCAGATGTTGCACTCAGACCTGCAAAATGGAGATGATAATGCCTGCTTTTGTGGCTGTTCAGAGGCTTAGCAAAATATATATAAAAATGTGGCCCATAGTAGTCATCCAATAATTAATGCATAATTCAGATAATGGGTTACATTTTCCACAGTTATTTATTTGTGTAAATGAGTGAAATGTTTAGAGAGGTAAATTATTTTTAGTGAAACAAAGAAAGTACTGGTTCTGTTTCATTACCAAAAATCAAGCAATATTACATATTTTTGTTGTATTCAGGAGGGATTTATTTTGTTTAGCCATCTGAATTGACGGAGGAAAACACAGGACAGAGCTTTGAGTTGATATGGAGAACTTACAAAATATAAGTTTGACTGAGTTTTTCAACCTTTACTTTCTTGTTTTGTAGCTTCAGACGTCAATATCAACCTTTGAGCCTCAACAGACTGCAGTATCTTATTGATTTGGGTCGAGTTGATCCTACTCAACCTATTGACTTAACCCAGCTTGTCAATGGAAGAGGTGTGACCATTCAACCATTTAAAAGGGATTATGGTGTCCAGCTGGTAGAGGAGGTAAATCTAGATTCGATTTATTTTGGAGTTACGTAGAAGACTATCTCTGATTTCCATTTAATCAACACTTTGCCGTCTTTTTTTTTTTTTTTTTTATCTTTTTCAGTTGTCATAACCAGTAGGTAGTAGTGATTGTGTTTTAGAAAGCCAGCATTTTTTATTGAGGGACCCCTGTTCTTGGGATGTTCTTCTCCTGTGTATCCATCCATTCAGCTTGCTCTGTCACTTCTTTTTCTCTGTTCAGATGTCATCATACCAGGATGATCTTTCTTTCATGAGGGAGCACTCACACATCCCACCTCACCCCCTTGTACATTATTTATCAACTACTCCTGTTTCTTATACATATGTCAATAACATAGCTGTGTCCACTAGAGGGAAGCATATGTTTATGGAAAAACCTTTTAAGCTTCCTTTGAAAAGTAAACCTTATGGATAAAAGTATCCTATATAATAAAAGGCTAATATGCAAATCGACCAAATGGCAGAATGACCGGTCACTGTAATGTGCACTGACCACCAGGGGCAGACACTTAACACAGGAGCTGTCCCCTGGTGGTCAGTGCGCTCTCACAGGAGGAGCACTGTTCAGCCAGAAGCTGGGCTCATGGCTGGTGAGCGCAGCGGTGCTGGCAAGAGCCTCTCCCACCTCCGTGGCAGCACTAAGGCAGTTGGACATCCCCTGAGGGCTCCTGGACTGTGAGAGGGCGCAGGCGAGGCTGAGGCACCCCCCCCCCCCCATGCACAAATTTTGTTCACTGGGCCTCTAGTTCCAAATAAAATGATCTGAAAAGAGAATACCAAATACATAATTAAGCCTCAGTATTCTACTCTGAGTGTAATTAACCTGTGGAAAAATCCATGACCTCATTAGCCATTAAACTGCAAATCCCTGCAGCTTTTAAGCATGTGTCTATTAATCTAGCAGAAATAATTCTGAAAACTGCACTAGTGAAGTGGTTGAATAAGCACAATTACACATCATTTACAGCTTTGTAAATTGTTTGACCTTCAGATTTGCAATAAATAGTAGCTATTAAGACTCTTGTTATCCTTCAGCACAGTTTGGGAGTATATGTTCTAAAGCAGCAGTTGCCAACGTTTCGGACCTCATAGACCACCAGTGGTCCACGGACCAGTGGTTGGCAACCACTGCTCTAAAGCAGCAATTTTCAACCTTTTTCATCTCATGGGACACATAAACTAATTACTAAAATTATGTAGCACACTGAAAAATATATTTTTTGCCGCTCTGACACACACAGAAAATAGGTATAACTTTGTTTCATCCACAATGGACAGATAGTGTGTTGGCTGTTGTTATTTTTTAATTTAACAATCTAAAGGAAAAGAGGTCAGTGCCCCGACTAAATAGTTAGATATTGCACGTTTTAAAAATTCTTGAGGCATACTAGTGTGCCATAGCACATTGGTTGAAAATCACTGTTCTAAAGGAAAAGCAAGAAAACCCTAACTGATAACAAAGATATTCCTAAAAATGCTTTATATATCACTGAAAACAATGGAGCTAACCCCAATGCCCAAGGATAGGGAAATGGTTCAGCACTTATGGCATAGTAATTAAGAATCACAGATAATATGATAAAATGTTAATTTTACTGAGTCAAAGATGCCAGTGATTATACAAATGCAGACCGGAATTATACATGGAAAGAATGTGAGAAAATATGTCTTGAAATTGATGGAATATTTTTGAAATATATTAAACATTTATAATTAAGGAAAGGAACTTGATTGGGAGCCAGCTTATTTCAACCACGCCAAATTAGCTAAATATTTTTGTCACCACAAAAAGAAAGGTAATGCTACCATCTTTTTATTTTTGTCAGAATGTTTTGAAATGAAAGTAAAATATAGTACATCCTAACTAAAGTGACCCAAAACAGAGCTTTAAAGTTTCAGTACTGCATTTTTTATTGTTGACTGTTTTCAGGATAGACTATTATTATTATCAGTAAAATCGGTAGTGAATCAAAGTAAATTTCTGTTGTCCTCTTGCCTTTTTCCCTAGAAGGGGCTGACCCCTCCAAAGCTCAGATATGATTGTCAGATCTTTTGTTCTTTCGCTGGTTCCAGTCCACTCATCCCCCTCTTTAACCATCTCTTGGCCTCTTGCTTATTTAGGGATAAGGAAGTTAAGTTTTTATATCATACTAGTGGCCTGGTGCAGTATTCGTGCACATTTAAAGGAAATTAATTAGAAGGTGGCTGTTGGGGCAGGACGGGCGGGACCCGCCCTGGAGCCAACCTCCTGCAGTCCCTCCCTGGCCGGCCGCACCTGGGGTGGCACCGCGGCTCCAAGGGCGTCTGCGGAGTCCCTTCGGCAGGTGGGGTTCCTTGGCCTGGCCTGCAGGGATCAGGCTGGAACTCGCTCTCTGATCTCCCCCGAGGGGTCCTGGAGTGGGAGAGGACACTCTGCAAAGTTGCTGTCACTCGGCAGCTCCTGTGTTGAGCGTCTGTTCCCTGGTGGTCAGTGTGTGTCGTACCCACCGGTCAGCCGGTCGCTTAGCTTTTTTTATAGATAGATGGCATAGTGTGGTTCAGAACACAGACACTTGTGACTAAGCTCCCGGATTAACCCTAGCTTTGTGATCTTGGGCAAGTTACTTAACTTCTCTGCTTCAATGTGCCCATCTATGACATTGGTTTAGCAGTAATTCTGTCGTAGAGTTGTTATAATTTTTAATACAGTCTATAATTAATGAAGTACTGGGAATGAGTAGTTAAATTGGCATCTACTAAATACCTCAAATGAAAATACAGTCATCCCCACTTACAGGAAATAAAAATTGGTAAGATAAGATGATGTTGTTGATAGGATGTCAAAGCAGAGGTATTTAAAGTAGGAATGACTAAAAAAATAAAAT